TAGTGTGACTCATACTAGTTTTCTGTTGTAGTCACCTGGAGCAGGGTTAATGTCCTGCTCTTTCTAGCCCCTAGCTGATGTCTGCTGTACCTGATGTCTCTTGAATGAATGGGCTTTGTTGTGGTTACAGTTCTGTTCCTCACATTGGTACCAGTATCTACGAGAAGGCTGGTGTTTCTGGACACTTTCGTTGCTGTCACTACCTGGAATCCGCATGCTTTCAGTGTCCCATTATGAGGAGAGGGCTGGAATGGTTCTCTCAGCTGTATCCATTTTGTCATATCCACTTTGTCTGTTTCTGGACTAGAAAGCCACAGTGCTCTAGTTTACAATGGTTTAAAGTTGCAAGTTCTTTGGCTTCTACTCTGTAGTCTAATTCCAGGCGCCTCCCCCTCCCCACCGCCACCTACTTAAATTTTTCTTTTTTACTGATGGCCAGTTTTACAAATGTACAGTAGAGAATAATTGAATACCTGGAGAAGCCCTAATTGATTCTCAGATCTTTACCTCTAATTCAGAATTTCATTTGAAGCTCTGAATTCATGTATCTGTTGGGTCTATTTGTGTGCTAGGTCCTCATTCAGAGATGTAGTGCTTTGTACTGTGCTGTCTCTTGCAGGTAAGATCTATTCAGCAGCTCTCTTGGAGAAACTTGGTGATTACAAAAGTAGGTTGTGTTTCCTTGGTACTTGTAGTCTCTTATCAAGATATCCATTCTGTTTTAATGACTTCTGTGCTGTGATGCTGAGCTGTAGGTGGACAGGTGCTAAGCTGAATACACAATGCCTAGAATATGTAGGCACTCACTAAATGTTAGGTGAATAAATTGTTATATCATGATGGGATATTCAGGAAGAAAAGCCATTCTCATTTCCTAGACCCATGCAATCTGTTAAATGCAACTGTTTAATCTGACCCCCACCCCCTAAAGTCTCCAGTTCCTTGTTTCCTATGGGACATTTTAATACTCACATTACTTACCTCTAAGAGAATTTATTGTCAGCAGCAGGAACCAATTCTGGTTGGCTTAGACTGGAAAGGAATTTATTACGAGGGGATTGGGTAACTGTTACAAAAACTGAATAAGAAGTGTAGAGAATAAATACAGTTTAGAGACAGGAAGTAGAGAAGTTTGAAAGCATAAACAATCTGGTCTAGGTCCTACAGGTGCTGCTAAAGTCTACCTTCCAGACTGTTACCCTGGCTGCTGATGTAATCATAGGCACTCTTGCCCTTGCCTCGCAGGTTCTAATGATTTGTCTGGGAGTGTCTGATTGCTAAATCTAGATTTTGTGCCCTTCATGGGCTCAGGGAGAGAAAGGACCCCTTTATCTCCTAACCCTTCTGAAGTGAGAAGTAGAGTTCTGTATCCCTCCAAAACTTTCCTAGAGGAGAATTCCGTAACACTTGCAAGTGTTTGAGAACTGAACATATTTTCCCAAAAGAAATAATGGAAAACCAAATAATTGGTTCTGAGGCCCAAAAATTACACTTATAAATTCATTTTTTCAGGACTTTAATAAATTTCACAGTGATTTCTTTAACTCTTTTGTATTCTCAGAGTTTTCCTCTTAGCTTTACTGGTGCTATCACTAACTTTATTTGGAGCCATGGTTACAAGATTGTATACAAATCAAGTGCAAAAAAAAAAAAATGCACAATGACGAATATTTCAACCCACTAACGCAAGCACTACATGTTGTCTGGGTGAGAGCAGTGCTTAGACAGAAGTGTGTCACCCCTTTGGGTCTGCAGTAGACTTGAGGTGTAACTTGGGCCATACAGGTTTTTTCATGTCAGATTTTTGGCTTGACTGTCAAGCCAAGTTACAAATACCGAGCAGATTTTCAAACTCTGCTGTTCAAGTAGTAGAAAGTTTGAGCGTGGAGCTGTTTGACAACTGACGTATCACTGTTGTTATGGCTTGTGTCTGGCTATCCCTGCAGATCCTCATGTGGTCATAGGTGGGGCTTTTCGGGTGTGGTTGGATTTAGGTTGTGTGGTGCTGGGATCAAGAATGTGATCCTGGGATTGATTATGGTGCAGGGTACCCCACTTTGGGTGTGAGTGCTACCTGTCTAAAGGGTGGGTAGGCTGGATAGGATATAAGGGGCAGAAAGAGGGTCACTGCATTTCACTTGCTGCTTGTTACCTTGCTGCCTTCTGCCTGCCATGACCTGTTTCTCCTCCGTGATGGCCCTGTGCCTTGTCACCCTGCCTTGGAGTCAGCCACCTGTGAACTGAAACTTCTATAAACTGGAAGCCAAATAAACCTTTCCTCCTTTTACTTTGAGTATCAGGTATTTTGTATCAGCAATGTAAAAAGTAACTAAGACAACTATATTTCTCACAGTTCTGGAGGCTGGTCCAAGATCAGGGTGCTGGTACATGGCGTTCCTATGGAGAGGCTTGTTCTTGGCATGCAGATGGCTGCCTTCTTGTTTTGTTCTCAGATGACAGAGGTTGAAGAGAGTTCTAGTCTCTCTTTTTTTATAAAGAAAGCTTGTTTTATTATAGGGGCCCTACCTTCATAACCCTATCTAAACCTAATTACCTTTCAAAGGCCCCATCACTCCATTCCATTCCATGGGGTTTGGGCTTCAACATGTAGCTTTTAGAGGGACAAAAACATTCAAGTCCATAACGTGCAGGTGGCCAGTAAGCATTTGAAAGATGCTCAGCATCTCCGTATCATTAGGAAATTGCAAATTAGGACAACAATGAGATACTGATACCTTGTAGAATGGTAAAAATTTAAAATAATGCCAAGGATGTGCAGCAAAGGAACTATCACTCATGGATAGTAAGAATGCAGAATGATAGTTCAGCTGCTTTGGAAGAAGGGAGTTTCTTGTAAAAGTATACATACTGTTAGGTTTCTATCTAAGGTTCTTCCCAAAGCCGCCTGTGATCATAGGCAGAGCTTCTGGGAGGCAATTGGATCATGGGGGGCTAGTGGACTGAATCTCCCGCCCCGGCTCCTCCCTTCTCTGCTTCCTGGCTGCTTAGACATGAGCAGCTTTCCTCCCCCAGGCCCTTGCGCCATGTCCTTCCTGCCTTGGAGCTGACCTATCATGGACTGAAAATGTGAGCCAAAATAAACCTCCTCCTCCTTTGAGTTCTGAGTGTCAGGTATTGTATCCCAGTGATGAAGAGTATGATTAAGATATGTACCATTTTCATATGATCCGGCACTTTACCTTTTGTTTACTCAGATGGATTGAAAATTTATGTCCACACAAAAACCTGCCCACAAGATGTTTATAGCAGCCTTATTTATAACTACGATAATTTAGAAGCAGTAAAGATGTCCTTCAGTAGGTGAATGGCTAAACTGTGGTACATACCAATAGTGAGGTATTACTCAGTACTAGAAAAGGATCAACAAGCTATGAAAAGACATAGAGGAAACTTAAGTCCATCTTACTGAAAGAAGCCAGTCTGAAAAGACTACACACTGTATAATTCCAGCTACATGACATTTTGGAAAAGATATTTATAGTGGGTGAAGTTGTGCATTATGGTGGAATAAGGTTTATAGGAATTCCCTGCACTATCTGTTCAGTTCTGCTGTGGACTTAAAACTACCTTTAAAAATAAAGTGTGTAATTTTTACAAAATTTATAATGGGTAAAGAGGACTTTCAATTTAGTTATCAGGCGAGGTCTTCTGACTTGAAGCAGTACAGTTCACTTCAATTCTGACTCTGAACACCATGAGTTAGCATCAGATGCCCCCCAGTTTAAAGGTGTGGTCCCCACATCTATCCCTAGGTCAGCCACAGATCCATTCCGGGTCCTCTACAGTCCTTGCAGACTGGTTCTAGTTGACTCCAAGGCCCAGGAGTTTCCAAGATGCCCTGTCCCCTCCTCCTGTAGGACTGCCCTCACTTCACATGTGATGGAGAAATGGGGTCCCAGAAGAGACTCACAGGGTGAGGTCTGCGTGTCCTCTCCCTCTGTAATCAGGTCATGTCTCCCTCACAGCACAGAGAGCTCCCCACAGTTCAGTGTCTAGACTGAAGCTCAGGACCTCAGGATTGGGTAGGATTGACCCCACGCCTCCACAGAGACGACCTGGCCAGAGTCCGAAACCATCTTGTTAGCATAAACTCTGTTGTGAATCACGGGGTTTATGAGTAACAGAAGTGATCCAATCACCTGGGAAATGCCAGGGTGAAGCTTATTGTCTGGAGCCCAGGACAAAAAGAAGACGGATTCAATACTAGGCTTTGGAAAAATAGTAGCTCTTGAAAATCTAATTGTTTTTAATTTGAAAATGTACAGTTGAAAGCTGAGGGGAGCTGGGCATGGTGGCGCAAGAGGCAGAGGTAGGAGAGGCTGAGGCAGGAGGATCACTTCAAGTTCGAGGCCAGCCTGGGCTACGAAAAGAGTTCAAGGCCAGCATGAACTGCATAGTGAAACCTGTCTCAAAAAGACAAAAAAAGCTGAGATGACTGAAAGTGGTTAAGGCTCTAAGATTGAAGAGAAAAAGTTGATTTATTGATCTCTTTTAATCCATACTATAGTAGTTTAGACTTATAGCTATTTAAATATGAATATATCATGCAGTTTGAATTTTGTGTTTATGATTTTATATATTTCTTTGGTAGAAAGGAGAGAGGACTTTGATTGGAAAGATTGGCAGGTAGAACAGCAGAGGACACTTTTCAGTATTTAGTACCTCACACTGTCAAAATAGATGACCTTAAGAACAGTTTTTGAGCTGGACATAGTGGCACATGCCTGTCATACCAGCATTCAGAAGGTTGAGGCAGGAGGGTCAGCACGATTTCAAGGCCAGCCTGGGCTACACAGTGAGTTCAAGACCAGCCTGAACTACCAGAGACCCTGTCTCAAAAATCAAAATAATTTTTTAGGTCTGGGCTATGGGTTGCTTTTTTGGCCATTTTTCCTTTTAATAGACTAGAAGGTTATTTCAGATTGTCTTTGGTATCCACTTTCTCCAAGGAAGTGCTTAGTTATATTTTTCTCTTACAGATTGATTACACCGGAACAGAGCCTTCCAGTCCCTGCAATAAATGCTTGTCCCCGAATGTGACATCTTGCTTTTGCACCATTAACTTCACACTGGAAAAGGCATTTGAGGTCTGTGTTTCTAAGTAAGGTGTTAGAAGAGCCGTGGTTTACAAAATATTAGTAATGGCCTTTTCCTTCATGCTATGTACATTTTTTTGGTAGAGAAGACAGTTTAATTTCTTGGAATCTATATACTTTTGAAGAAGATTGTTTTATATACTTGGCTGTTGTATTTTGCTGTCTGATAATTAAATACATTTATTTGAATGGTTTGCTTAATAATTTATGGAAAAAATTTAAGGTGAAATTTTATCCTTTCACTGGAAAAATTTAGAACTGTATAATTTTGTGTCACTTACAGCTCCATGTACTTGTATTTTTAAATTACTGCCCAAATTGCCTTGCATGCTCTCAATTATAAAATAGATTATACTTTAGAAAATAAATACTAATACTTGTTATTAAAATTATTTTTGTGAGATATGAAAGATTACAAAAGTGAGAAAACTAAAACTTTGCATTTTTTGTATTTTGATGTCATTGGATCTTTGTGTGTGTGTGTATGTTGTATTGACAGTGATCTTAGTAACTGAGCAGAGGCTGAAGGATATACAGATCAGAATAGGCATAGAAAGACCAATTTGTACTTTCAAATTGAGATTACAAAATTATTCTTTAAGGAAAAAACTGCCAACATTTTAGATTTTCTGCATTTCCCATGTTTTAAAGGGATTGATAATTTAGCAGCCCTTCAGAGGGGCTTGCCGTCTAGTGGTTGTAGTTGCTCTTGGATCAAGATAAACACCAGGATAATGCTGCCTTGGGAGAAACCAGGAAAACTAATTTGGGAAAGAACTTTGTTTCAAAAGAATAGCATACATTCAGTGCACCTTTAAAAGTCTAGTTTTTCAACATGATGAACAAACCATAAAAAAAGACTTTTGCTTTTGTCAAAACAGGTAGACTTGAAGAAATGAGACTTAGAATGACTTAGAAGCTCCCTCTGTTAGAGCTCCCTCCTCTCCCATTCATAAACATTTCAGAACTTTTCTCTGCAAATCTGATTAACCTCAGATTCATTCTTTTGTAGGTTCTGTGTTTTTTCACAAACTTTGAATTAGACTGAAACATTTTGAGGGATGTTAGTGATCTTGAAATAGGTTGTCTCGGTGTTCACGGAAGGACCCTCATCTTATTTTCAGTTGGGGTGGGTTTTTTGTTTTTGGGGGGTTCTTTCTGGCTGTGCTGGGAATTGAATCCCAGGGTCTTGCACGTACCAGACAAGTGCTGTACCACTGAGCTATATCCCCAGAACAAAATTCACCCCCTTTGGTTGCTTTTTTGAGACAGGATCTCACTAGGTAGCCAGGCTGGTCTTGAACTCACATTCCTCCTGCCTCAGCCTCTGGAGCACTAGGCTTACAAATGTGCACCACCGTATCTGGCCTTGTACTGATCCTTAATTGAAATGATATTTTTTTTTCCTCAAAAAATTTTATCTTCTGTGTTTCTCTGATATAATTTTGATACCCCTTGTTTAAAAAAAAAAAGATTTCTATGTAAATATTTCCTTTATATAGAATAGGAAAATTTACATAATTTGACATTTCAGAATCAACCCACCTATTCTGGAGGTAGTGTTGAGTATAGGGCCTCTTCTCTATGAGCTACATCCCCAGTCCGTTTTTTAAATTTTGAGACAGGATCTCATTAAGTCATTCAGTTGTCCAGGCTAGGCTTGAACTGTGTTCTCCCTGCCTCAGCCTCTCAGAGTGCTAGGATTACACATATATGCCACCAGACCTAGCTGAAAATCAAGTTTTAATGATAGTATATAGAAGAGTAGGAAATCAAATAAAGAACTCATAAAGTAACTGAATTCTTTTTAATTGAAGATAAGAATTTTTAAAATAGCAGTAGCAATCAGAAATGAGAAAGTAAGTTAATATTTTCGCTATTTCTGAAAAGTGCAGATATTCAAGAATAGTGTGTTAACAGTTCCTAAATCACTGTAGTGTATGTAGGTTACCCTTTCTTCCCAAGTTATTTTGAAGTTGGCTCCTTGTTTAAGTACTTTTCTTGATTTTTATAAAGTGACTTATTATCTAATATACTTTATTAATTACGACTCTATTAATTGCTAATAGGATATAGTATGGCAAGTTTTATATTCTTATTCAGTCAGAATTTACTTGGAAACAAATGACAGTTTAACTATTATCCCTCTGAAAAGTTGATGCCAATCAGGTAAGCGCCAGTCTGATTTAGAGAAAATTTTAGAGTGAAGGTAGCTCAAAGTAGGCCGATAGATTACCTCAGAGTTATTTTTAATGTAACACTGGAAGTATTTATGGAAAGTTTGGAAGTTTACTCTTGGACTTTTGTAACATGCCTTGTTTAATGTTATTTATAATTACACCATTTTAGATTGCTGGGTGCAGTACTTACAGAATTCTCTTGTCTGTTATCACCAATTATAAAGTGCTTAGTAAAGCACACGTTACTCAGTCTTTATGTACACATGAAACAAGTTAATACACAGTAACTCTTACATGAAAAAATGTCCCTTTTCTGTTTCCTCTAGGGCAATGTGTTTATGTATTACGGCCTGTCTAATTTTTATCAAAATCATCGTCGTTATGTGAAATCTCGAGATGATAGTCAGCTAAATGGAGATTCTAGTGCTTTGCTTGTAAGTAAAATGATGAAATATGAAAATTGATGTCTGAAATAAGAACACATGTACTTAATAATGTTAGGATGAAATTAAAACACTACTTGTCATTCTAGTTTGTGTAGTGAGGGGTTTTAGTTAAAACTGTTTTCTAGGAATTGCACAGGTTAATTCTTACAGCCAGAGGACACATTAGCACCTGTTTGCTTCTGGTCATCACTGGGATTTGGGCTTTACTAAGCTGCTTGTAATTGGTATTTTGGTGAGTGTAGCATTCTGGATATGTAAACATACTCTCTTTGGGCTTATACATTATTATCATGCTAGGTAGAAATATGCAAATAAGCTGCTTTTTATTTTAGAAATTGTGTTCAATATTGAGTGAGATACTCTTTTTTTTTCACTTGTGGGAAGCCTGAGTAGCAAAATCTGAAAGGTGTGTTAACTGACAAATTCTGTGCAGCTATTTGAAAAATACAGATTCCAAAACTGCCCAAAGTCTAATATGTCAGTGTCTGTAGGGGTAGAGTCTAGAATGTCTATTTTTAATAAGCAACCCTTCTGATGCCTACCCTTATTTGGGAGTGTGTAGACTAGGAGTTCTTAGTTTCTTTTTGTTTTTGTTTTTGTTTTGGTTTTTCTCCGGTACCGGGAACTGAACTCACGACCTTGCGCTTGCCAGGCAGGCGTTTTGCCGCTGAGCTAAATCCCCAGCCCCTTAGTTTCTTGACTATTCAGCTTTCTCAAGTAGCGGTTTGTGTTATTCTGCCCAATGCAAGAAACATTCAAAAATCCAGAGCAATTTTGATCTCTTAGATTGGTGACTCATTAAATGCAGTGTGAGACTATACTGCTGTCAGAGTGGGCCTGGAAAACTTACAGATGCCTTAATTAGGTATCCTGACTGGTTTTCTTGCTAGTTTCTGACGACTGGGATTTAGGAAGTACAGTACAAGGCTATTTAGATTGTTCCTAGTGTGCACAGGGTTCTAGTTACATCTGCAATATTTTGTTAACCATTGTGGGGTTTACTCCATAGAATCTAATTTTTAGGATTCGTATCTGCTGTGAGAGATACCAAGTTCCCAGACCTTTATGAATTTGTTTATTGGGATTGCAGATTGTGTACGTTGAAGGGACCACAAGTGGTGCTTGATTTATAATTATATTGCTATTATATCCTAAAAGTCTACATTAGATTCTTCTTTTTTAGACATGAGATTAACTTGAAATTATATAGTTGGTCATGTTCATTTTATATGTGAGGCTCAGTTTAATCAAGGGAGTAGTTGAAAATGAGAACCTATAGTCTGTTTACTTCCAGTTTATGATTCCCTTTATTATGTTACAACTAGATTGACAGTAGACTGTTTCTTTAAACTTTTATCAGGCAGAAGACTCTTTTGTGGTTTCCATGTTGATACCAAAATAAAAAAGATTAATTTGATGTATGCATATATAACAATATGCAAGTGGAAGTTGCATTGAAAAGATAATACAGTCGAATTAAGGAATACATTTTGAGTATTTATATGTAGTGTTATTTATAATGTATTTTCATTACACACTGATTTTGTGTGCGTTACAAGTGGAAGAAAGGCAGGGGTTAATTTTTAATCAGTAAATTCAGATAGCTCATAACTCTTCCAGAGGCTTAGGTAATATCTCTCTTCTTTTCCTTTGAAAAACCAGAATCCCAGTAAGGAATGTGAGCCTTATCGAAGAAATGAAGACCTACCAATTGCTCCTTGTGGAGCTATTGCCAACAGCATGTTTAATGGTATGATGCAAATACAAATGTAGATACAGATATAGATGTATATAATTAGGATGGTTAGTACAGTTTTCCTGCAGATTGATAGTCTAGCAGTCATGAATGAAATGAAGAAATTCAGCTTTACAATAAATGCTTGATTAAGTATCGAGTGGGGTTTATAATGCTTTGTGACTTCCTCTTGAGCATTCTTATATTTAAGAACAGATTTCTGTCTCTGAGAAGAAGCAAAAATATTTTGCTAATTTCCTACTCTATATACAATAAAATTAAAAGCCAGACTGCCATTCTTACTGACTTTGATTACTGATACCATTAAAAATGGCTATAGTTAATCATTTAGAGTCTAACAGAAATATAACGTGGACCATCAATGTAAGCCATTGTCTTGGTTACTTTTCTCAAAATACCTGACACCCAAAATTAAGGAAGGAAAGTTTTATTTAGCTCACAGTTTGTGGAGGTTTCAGTCCATAATCAGCTGAGTCCAAGGCAGGGTGGCGTGGCACAGGGGCAACAGTTCAGGGGAGCAGAAGACGGCAAAAGCAGCATGATCAAAAAGGGGGAGAACAAGCCATTTTTCCTCCCTTATATTGTATATGGGCTGTCTGCCCACACCCACACCATCTCCATGCCCTCCTCTTCCACAACCTGAGGATGTTTACAAAGTAAGGACCCTGGCCCCCAGCGGAATCACTTAGTTGGACTTTTGAACTTCTCAAGTTGACATAATGGACAACATCCTAGAACAGTAAGGGCATATCCTTTTCACCCCAAGATTTAGAACTTCTGAGTCACTTAGTTAAGCTTCTAGACTCCTCAAGTTCACAAAATAGATCAACCATGACAGCCATGTAGGTAATTTAAAATTTTATAGTACTCACATTAAAAAAAATGTGAAATTAATTTTAATAATACCCAGTATACACAAAATAGCATTTCAGTTTAGTATGTAAAAGTTATTAATATATGTTTATATACTCAGTCCCTGATATCTGGTGTGTGTTACACACTTAGAGAACATGATTATTTGTCCTAACCACCTCTCAAGGGTTCAGTAGCCGTGTGGACCTTGTCTACAGACACAAAAGGATAAGCCAGGAGGTATTAGAAATGTGTCATTGAAAGGAAGAGAAGAGAGACAGATTTACCATGTGTGTTACTTTTCTTTCATTGCTGAGACAAAATACATGATGCCCAAAATTAAGGAGGAAGTTTAGCTCACAGTTTGTGGAGGTTTCAGTCCATACTCAGCTGGCTCCAAGGCAGGGTGGCGTGGCACAGGGGCAACAGTCCAAGGGGGAGAAGACAGCAAAAGCAACAAGCGTGAAAGGGGAGGAGCAAGCCTCTTTCCCTCCCTTATATTGTGTGTAGGGGAGGGTGGGTATAGCACTCACACTCTGAATCCTAGCACTAGACAGTGAACCAATCATAAACTCTAGATTCAGCTGCCTCCAAAAAAGCGTGCACCCCTCATGACTACATGAGGCTTTGGGGCAACATCCTGATACAAACCAGAATACCTTGTAAGTTTATTTAGGTTAATAGTTGGTCCTATCACATATCAGCTAGCTGTATAGGAAAATGACATAGATCTGCATCAAAGGAAGAGAAGTACATCTATAATTAAAAGTTACTATGGCTAATTTACATCTGAACAAAGAGCAAATGTGAATTGCTTCACTTTTAGGAGCAAATACCAGATCCTCATTTTTCTTAGAATAAAGCAAGTGCTATGGATTTTTGACAGATGTTAAGTAATGTTTTCTTTTTCTTGGTAGATACACTAGAATTGTTTCTGGTCTCCAATGAGTCTGATCCCACACCTACACCTATTCCTTTGAAGAGGAAAGGTATTGCTTGGTGGACAGATAAACATGTAAAATTCAGAAATCCTTCTGGAGGAGGGACCCTGGAAGAACGATTTAAAGGTGAAAATTACTCATATCTCTTATGAAAAAATAAACCAGATGCTTCAGTGAAGTACCTTAAATTTTCTGTCTTTAGAATCTCAAAAAAATTTGTTTTTAAAACAGATATTTTTCCTTCAACCTCATACCAATTTAGGTAAAGGTTCTTCTCCTTCTCTCTTTCTCCCCTCCCTCTCCTCCTTCATTTTCTTAGATAAAAGTTATACTTTTAATCATGAATCCAAATTCTTTCAGATTTTCTTACAAGCATTTCAGTTACAATCTTTTATACCTTCAGCAAAGTTTGCTTTAAACAAGACCCCATTATTTGTAATGCAAATTTATTTTTGTATGTTGCCTTAATGTCAGTGTGTAATTTTGTGTATGTGTTTATGAGAAGTACTGAGGGTTGAGCCCAGGATCTGTGTGTGCACTCAGTACAGATCTCCATCCTTTAATTTTTTTCTTTTTTTTTTTAAATTTTGAGACAGGGTCACAGTAAATCACTGAATTGCCGAGGCCAGGCTCAAACTTGCAGTCCTCTTCCCTCAGCCTTCCAGAGTGCTGGGATTACAGGTGTGTGCCACCACACCTGGCTTGTCATGTTTCTTCACATTATAAACCGTTTATATTCAGTATTCTTGTTTTTGTAGTCTCTTTGTTATCAACCAAGTCTTTATAATTTTTTGTTGTACAAGAAATTGTTTTCTCCTTAGATTTTAAGACTTCTTGAATATTTGTACAGAATATGAATACATGTATACCTTTGCCGTAAGAGTTCCAGATTGTGTATTGCACATCTTTGTATTAGTAGAGTGTGACTTTTCATTGAAACTCAAAAGAATTGAATGTTTTGTTTCCTCATCCCTTTCCTACTTGCCTTTAAGGAACAACAAAGCCAGTAAACTGGCTTAAACCAGTGTACATGCTGGATTCGGACGAAGAGAACAATGGCTTTATAAATGAGGATTTTATCGTGTGGATGCGCACTGCAGCATTGCCTACTTTCCGAAAGTTGTATCGTCTTATAGAACGGTCAAATGATTTACACCCAACGTTACCAGCTGGACAGTACTATTTGAATATCACATACAGTATCCTTTTTTGGTTGTAAATGCAGTCATTGAACTTGAAAGGAATCTACTGCAGCCTTACCCCTGTGTTGTGGTTTGTTACTCTGTGCTTTAGTTTTGATCCCTGCATTTTTATGAGTACATATGCATGTAGGAATATATCTTCTAGGAAAGTCTTAAATTTTTGTGTACTTTGTACTAGGATTTCAAGAATATCACTTGGTAAAATTACTTAAAATGTAGGTGCTTTATTTGTTAAGAAGCTGGATATTTTTATAAGGGAGACTATAATTGAGCTTAACACAAAGGACAGTGAGTGTACCTAATATTAAGCAGGTTATATTAAAACAGCCTGGCCAGGTGTGGTAACGCATCTGTAATCCCATGACTCAGGAGGCTGAGGCAGGAGAATCACTGTGAGTTCAAGGCAAGCCGGAGTTACATAGTAATTTGAAGGCACACCTGAACTACAGAGTAAGACCCTGTCTTGTAAAAAACAAAACAAAAAGAACCAATGAAAAAAACAGCACATATCTTAATTTACATCAGCTTAATTGTTCATGCTTAATTGATCTATTTATAGTATCAAAAAGCATTTTATCAGCTCTGTTGTTCTACATTAATAAATCAGGTTTACTTTCACTACTGATATTTATTCTGTTCTTACTATATTTCAACACTGTTGTAGGTTATACACTTCATCAATAGGGACTTTGTTCTGTTCTCTCTGTACCTGCTTGTCAGAATTCTAGAACAGGTCCATGTAGAAAATACATCTGATAAACTGGTGTCCCCTTCTTAAATCTCCTACAGAGCCACCCTTCCCTTCTGCTCTATCCTGGCCTCAGCACTGTGTCATGTCATGAATTTTATCATTATCCAAATCAGCACAAAGTGTGTAGTGTCCTTCATACTTTTTAGCCTTGTGTTCAGAGCCCCCTTAGTGTGCTCGCCACATTCTTGTTGTATGCGCTCTTTGAGCTTGCAGATGCCTCCCCTTCATTAATTCCATTTCTCCTGCTCTGTCTACCTCCCTTCCTGTGTGGCCTGCATTGCTGTTCATCCAAAGTATTTTTTTATACTACATTACACTTTTGAAGCTTTTTGCCCTTCCTTTGAAATGAGAGCAAAACCACCTGAGAAATTATGTATATAACTCCTATTGTTTGGTAAAATATAATATATACCCTTTCAAAATAATATATTTTTTGTGATTCAGAGCATGAGTAAAGTACCTGTGTCATAGAATTATACATATGAATTAAAAGCAGTTAAGTAATGGAAAAAAAATCTTCCTATACCCTCCTCAGATTACCCTGTACATTCTTTTGATGGACGGAAACGGATGATCTTGAGCACTATTTCATGGATGGGAGGAAAAAATCCATTTTTGGGAATTGCTTACATCACCGTTGGATCAATCTCTTTCCTTCTGGGAGTTGTTCTGCTAGTAATTAATCATAAGTATAGAAACAGTAGGAACACCGCGGACACCATGGCATTTTGAAGTTGGCACATAAAACTTTTTTTTAAAGAACAGTCTTTGTCTTTTGCTTCTTTGCTATGGATGACTTATATATGATGGCTATAAATATTAGGTATATTGATTGTATTAACAGTGTAACTGTTAAACTTGCATTTTATTGTTCGCTTCTTATTGGGACAGTCCACGTGATGCATAGAGTTTTCATGTGAAATGTGTTTACTGCTTAAATGTTCATGCTGTGTCTATTATATTGACATATGATGCTGTACATCTGTGCCCATTGTGTGATGAAAGGGATTATAAGATGTATGAGTACGATCACTTGCTAACCTTTCAGATTGAGTCACGAAAGATGGAGAAAGACCAAATCTAATAAAACATGTCTTCATTTTCATGTGTCATGTGTAAAGGCATAAAGTACTGTCTTTGTTTAGGTGATTCACATATGGAGTTAGTCTGTTCTAGGTTTTTTGTCAAGCTCAGCTTTGATTTCAAAGGGCATGGAAAGTAATGTTCATGTCTAAAGAGGGCAGGTATGTCCTGGACAGAATTTAAATTTCCTCTTTTCACTTGTTAAAACATTGCACTCAAGAGGCCTAGCTCAGTTGGAGTGTGTTTCATGTGGTCATTTCCCCTGAAGCTTTTGTTTTGTAAGGGAAAAGAATAAGGTGAGATGCAGACTCCTTGGCTGATCTTCATCCTCTGCCTCCACTGTAAAGTAGAGGTCTGTGCCCAGAGGAGTCTGTTTTTGTTCTTGTGATATTTAATATCCAGAGACTGACTTCAGCATTGAAAATACCTCAGGCTATCCTTATTTGGCAGGTAAGTGTTTTGACTTAAGTACTAACATATTTCAGAAAATTTTGAAACTTTAACTTCCTCTGTATTTCCTTCAATTTTTACATACAGGTCAAATATGAATGTGTGTACACAATTTCTTTAGTTAATTTGTTGATTGTTTTGGTTGGTTTTCCAAGACATGCTTTAAGAAGATGTTCCATAAGTATCCTATTTCTGGAGATTTTGGAATATGTACATGATTAGTTATAATGTATATGGTTGAAGTTACTTGCTAACTGGGGTTATTTTAATTTTCTTTATTGAATAAATGCTGTAATTGTTTGCTATGCAACTTACTCTTGAAATCAATGTAAACTTGTTTTGCCACATATATGAAAATGTATGTATTTAGTAGAGGTGACTTAATTGCATCTTTTTAAACTAAAAACTCATGTTTATATGGAAGAATGCCAGTTATTAAGAGTTTGTGCCGGGTGTAGTGGCGCACACCTGTAATCTCAGCACTCTGGAGGCTGAGGCAGGAGAATTGTTGCAAGTTCGAGGCCAGCCCGAAGTGCATAGCAAGACCCTGTCTCAAACAGACCAAAAAAAAAGGAGTTTGTAACATTCAGTTATATATGAAATCAGAAGGTCTGGGTAATATATAAATTTTGATTAATGTATATTTTTAAGAAATAAAACTGTATAATGGTTAATAATAGAAATGTGCCACCCTTATTAAGTTTTGTGTAATTTATGAAACTTAGTTAAAATAACTAGTAATTTATAGTGACTTTTAACTCAAAAATATTACTTGCAGGAATATAATAGATGATTCTCCTAAAATTTGTGAATAGAGAGTATTCTTTATATAGATACAGTCTTTGTTTTGCCAGTTCTTTGGAAAGTTGTTTATCAGAAAGTTGTCCTTCTTACCCATGGTGTTTGTTTTCTCAGTACATCATCCAGGACGGTGACTTCTTTCCAGATTGAGTCTGTGCTGTTGAAGGAGGTCTCTATCCTGCATCTTTCTCTTTGTCTTGGCCTGCCCCCTCCTTTTTAAACTGGCTGATCAACTTAAAAGTTGAAAAGCTCTTCCAACCTTTTCACATTGCTGGAGAAGATGGAATCCTAAAATATAATTGGAGTTTAATCCATTTTACAATATTGATAGCCTAAGGCCCTCCTCCTGCCATTTGAACTGTGAGGGTTTCCTTTTGCTAAATATGAAGAAAGTTTATACAAGATATTTATATGGCGCCTGTGAAGCATGGGAGAGGTAAATCATTTCTTACAGACTTTATGCTTTGGAAACATTGACGTCATACTCAGATTTCAAAGAATCTTACTGCATTTTAAGTCAATAAGGTTAAGTAGAGGACTTGGAAAATGCAGTAATTTGTAGGAAGTATTTTGATGGGAAAAGTTTTCTGATTGAAGAAATTATTCAATAAATAAAAACTAAGAAATTTCATTGAACTCCTAAGTGATTTACAAATAAGTAGGAAAAAACTACTACTACCTAATAGACAATCACTCAGCCTAAAGAAGAGCCAAATGAATATGGTTTATTGGATTATGACAATTTATTTGTAATCCTGATTATATTGAAAGGTAGCATTCTGTTTGTATGTTCTGCATTAATAAAAATGAAATTTTGCAGTCTTTAAGTGTCCTGCTGAAATAACAATGCCCTGGTGTTGCAGATGTCTGATACTCAGCTTTAAGTCAGAGTCATTGAGTTCAGGTTTTCACTTCTTTATGCTTAGACTTAATAATGTGCTATCCATTACTAGGTTAATTATTTATGTTATGAATCACTCTGACGACATAAATCACAAGATGCATATAATTACTTATTACTGAGGAATATCTGTTCTAAGACATGGTCAGGTTGTTACCTGAGCTGTAGGTTGTCTGGCTAAGTCTGGTGTTTTATCAAGAAGAAGCTTTAGTGAACAGAGGCGTGGACAGTAAAAATAATGAAGATTGCACAGGAGTAGAAGGTTGACTCCTGAGGGGAGGCTGAGAGTACAGGGTTAGTGGGTGCTGTCTGAGCCTGTTGCCTCTTGTTTTCATGCAAATACTGTTAGAGCTATTACATGCACTTCGTTGGTTAAGTTGTAAAGTTTTGTTCTTTGTGAATTTGCAGCTTTGAGGGGCTGGTAGAGGGAATAGGGACCTGATGCTATTAAGATGTTTGATCCAAAAATGTCTGTAGTAGAGTTTGGGTGATCTAGTAAAAAGTTTTAGAATCACTTTTTAGCCCGTGCACCATTCAGTAAACTAAAATCACATTTCTCCTAATGTCATTTGAAATTTCAAAATAAATGTATTTTCTAAAAACAAATCAGAGCCTTGTGCCGTGTAGTATCATAGCCAATGAGGTTTATCTGAGGTGCGATTATTACTCGTTAAAAACAAATCAGAAGATGATGACCTTATTTGCTTTTATCTATAAAATAAGTCAGATATGTATACAAAGTTTAAAGATCAATCAGTAAAGTTCTAAATGCTTTATTATGAAAAATAGTATGCCCTTCCTGAACTTACCTTCCTTCCCAGACCATTACATTGACCCCAAAGTTGTTTCCATTTTTTAATCTCAGTATATCAAAAGTGTTCCATTTTTGTTTGATTTTAAGTTTAGATCTCTTCTCGATAGTGTTACATAGCTCTAACATATCTTGCTTTATATAGTTATATCCTAATAACTAATAAACGGATTAGTTATGACTATAAAAATAACCTGTACTGTAGACTATACCATGATTATATTTCTTTGTATAATTTTATTTTTCCTGGTATTAATAATTGTCTTGGTCTTAATACTTAGGTAGTTTTCTGCAAACCTGTCTTGAAACTTTTCCCGGTTCTCTGTCAGGTCTACCATGGTCTTACCACTAGTATTGAAGTATTTTTGTGCCCAAATAACAGGTAATAACGTCTGTGATTTCACTAGCAAGGTCTCTGAGGTAGTTCTGTGCCAGAACCACTGCACGTGGCCTGCTGGTATATCATGACCTCCCTTTGCTATTCTTGTTTGTTGTCTTGTCATCTGATTCATTTTCTTGTTTACCGATCCCTTCTGAAACATACATCAGCCTTAGAAGTCATACATGAAAGGCAAATTTTCCGAGTCTTGCCGTACCTAAAGTGCCCTTTTGCTACCTACATTTCATTGTCAGAAATAATTTTCTTTCCAAGTTTTGACGTCTTTGCCCCTCTCTTTTATAGTTTCCATTCCTGCTTCTGAATGGCTGGGCCTTCTGGATTGGTGACCAAGTTTCCTTCTCTTTTTCCTCTGGTTATTTACATGCGATTGTCTCTTCTTTCTAGGAGAATTCTTCAATTTGTTTTTTCCAAATTGTCTTGCTTCTGTTGAATGAGTAGTATATTTTTTAAAAAATACTTTAATTCCTAAGCTTTCATTTCTGTTTTCATAATTTCTTAGTCTTGGTTCATATAAAGAATGTCTTTCTGAGAATACTTAAGGTTTTTTAGTTCTTTTTGATCAGTCTTTTTTTCTTTTGTTCATATTGACACCTTTTCTTGTATTTCTGACTAGTCTCAATAACTGATAGACCCTAAAAGAATATTTGAAAGCTTTGTGTTTGTGGGCAGTGCTTAACAAGCGATAGCTTTTACTAGCACAGTGCCACTTGGCAAATTATTTGTTGTCTTGTTTCTGATAAAAAAATTAGATAAGTAATAAATGGTTGGCAAGTCAGCATTCAGATATAGACCATACTTTGTGAAGCACTGCACTAGGGGTATTTCAGAGAAACATTACGGTAATGGGTTACTCTGAATAAAGAACCGAGACCAGAATCCAAATTGGAATTTTAAGAGCCTTTATTGGCCGGGCCAGCTGCTGTCAGTCTGTTCTCCACGCAGGGAGAGGCTGAGCAGCCCCAAACCTGAAGAAAGTTTTAAGCTTTTAGGCTTGAAAACCACATCCTGGTTGGCTCAGGTGAAAAGATTCTTTGCAAGGGCAGAAAAGCAGAACCTATTGTTTCCAGCAAGCAGGTGTTGCAAAGTTCAGAACGTTCTCAGAAGCATCCATTGTTTTCAAACTAAACTAAACATCAAGCACAGTTTCTCTTTCTTGGGTCAAACTGACATTTTTTTCCTCCACCCAGCAGCCCGGCAATTTTTTCATGTGTTTTATGTGTACACCAATTATGTGTTCACCACAATTACCAGCCAACTGACGTGGCTTTTATATTTACCAACTGCATCGTAAGATTGCTTCAAAATAGGGAGTTTAATATCCACTGACATTTTTTGGAGAAGTAAAGTAAATGGTAAATAAAAAGTACGTAGTACCAAGTATGTAAAAGTTAGTACTCAGTGAACAGCTGCCTGACCAAGTAAATTTGCTGTTCCCTTTATCTTTTTGTTCTATCTGATAGGAATTTTACTTCCCTGTCCATTTTATTATCTGGCTGTAACTCGTGATTTTCAGAACCATGTAAAATACTGAGAGTATGGAGATTATGTTGTGCTCACTTCTCACTTTATCATACTCCTTGAGCAGTTTTAAATTCTTTGTTTCTTATCATCTTTACACTATCTTTTCCTATGCATCTTTATCTTACCTGAACTTTAGATTATTAACTGTTTATTCTTGAGAAACTAAATTAATTAGGTCAACATTGAATTAATCTGGATTACTAAAGCAAGACTAGGTAGGAATCACCCCTTGTGAGAATGGGGTTTCTTTTCTTTTTATTGTTAGGAGTGGGTGGGAACCAAGGTTTGAGCCCAGGGCCTACTAAACTCCACCCGAGCCCCAGGGGGGGTTTCACGGTCTTCCATTTAATAAAAGGTATAACCAGTCCTGTAATGAGAAACGCTTGCTCTTTTCCCCAGTCACTTTATGCTAATAAGTCACTACATTCTTTTGAGTTTTGAAAGGAGTTCCTCTAAACTGGCTTTCTCATCCATACCTTGTATACATCCTTTTGCTGCTTAGTTCAGGTTTTCCTTCTTCCTTGGATTAGTAGGAGCCTTCTGACTGACTCTTGTTAGGTTTACGGCAGCCTAGCGGAAGAAACAAAGGGGGAAGAAAGCCTTTACTCCAGACCCAGAGAGGAGGGGACTGCTTGCAGCACAGGCCTCTGGGGCAGACCTGAGGCCGGGGGTTTATGAGGACTCTGTCTAGAGACTGTGCTTGAGGAGAGGGCTCAGTGCCGGCTTAGGAGCTGACTGGGGCTCCAGTCAGGGTAAGAGGAAGTTGTGTTCAGGGCCTGACAGGAATCTGTCAACTCTGACTCCAGTGATTACATCCAGTCCTGCCTTTCCTTACTACTAGAGTGATTGTAAAGTAGGGTTCTCATTATAACAGTTGGCTGTTGAAACCTGGGAGTGGGTCAAAGTCACCTTGTCACCTTCAAGATAGTATTTATCATTGAAGTCAGACTTCCACTGTTAAAACAATCTTCCAGTTGTCTTGCCAAATCATGCTGTTGTGATTCCCCGAGATATGATTGCCTTCTTGTCTTTGATTCTGCAAGTACTATATTTTGTCTGATTTTTTTTTATCTGTTTCTCCTTGGCCAGTCTTTCCTCCCACAATAATAGCTAATACTTACCTCATTTAGTCCTTATAGCCACCCAATGATGGTGGATTCTGTTGTCTTCATTTTAAGGGTAAAGAAACTGAAGTATAAATAGATCATGTAATTTGCTTTCAGTCATTATTATCATTATTGTTATTTCCTGTGGTGGTCATTGAACTCGGGGGCTCATGTTATGTTAGGCAGATGGCCTCCCTGAGTTATACCCCAGCCTCACTCATGTCACTATTAAGTGACGGCCTCAGGATGTGTCTTACTTACAAATTCTTAATTACAGTGTTTTCTTTTTTTTTTTTTTTTTTGTCTCCGGTAGCGGGAACCGAACTCACGACCGTACGCTTTCCAGGCAGGCGCTTTTGCCGCTGAGCTAAATCCCCAGCCCCACAATGTTTTCTTTTTACACCCAATCTAGTTCTCTAATTTCACAGTTCCTGCAGTATACTATGCTGATTCTAAATATAGGTTGTTAATCATTTTCATATAGGGGAAATGCTAGATGTTATGTATGCAGAGTTCGTGTCTCCTGAAGTCAATGAATGAATTCTAAGGAGCAGTGGAGGTTAAAATGTATTGGAGAAAAGGAATGAGGAATAGGAATGGGGAATAGGAATAGCTCCTGAGAGACAGGAAGGGTAACCGTTGAGCCACCTCTTGAAGTTTTATAGAGCAAAATCATGAGCTGGGTACGATGTGGGTCAAAATTATAATCAGTAAGATTGCAAGTAAAGTTGCTTAGGTAATATTGATGTGGTCGCAAGGGTACATAGGTGACATCATTAACTTTGATCCATAGTACGTAGTTTGAATCTTGTCGTTAGCCTTGGTGGTCTTAGTAGGTGGGAGAGGATGGCCCACCCCTAATGAGATAATGGGAAATCTCTAGAGGGATGATACCTATAATACTAAGCTTCCTTTTACCCCTTAGGGAAGTATGTAAAACTAGCCATTGTAACTTTAATCTTCAGATGAACCTCTATCACAGTCCTGATGTATTCTCTTTTCCACAGACTCCCTCCAGGGCTCAACCCTGTCTGACTGCCTACTATATTTCTACCTAACTTAGCTGTCTATAATAATATTCTTTTTTTTGGGGGGGTGTCTTTTTGAGACAGAGTCTCCCTAGGCAGATCAGGCTGGCCTTGAGCTCACTTTGTACCCTGGCTGCTGTCAAACTCACAGTGATCCTCCTGCCTCAGCCTCCCAAGTGCTGGGATTATAGGCGTGTGCCACCATGCCTGGCCTGATATTCTTACTCTTAAGTCTGGAATGCTTTTAGGCTCTGTTCCATTTATTCTGATTTTACTGAACCTGAGAGACATTTATGTCTGCACCAAATTTAGTTATGTATTATATTCCTAAACAGGCTATATGCTTCAGAATGCCAGGGACTTTAAAAATGTGCTTCTGAGCATATTGAATAATACTAACATTCATAGTAATTAGCTAATTTTACAAGGGGGTGGATTCATTTTCACAAGGGATTCATTTTACAAGGGAGTAATTCATTTTCACATGTTTCAAGAAGTTGTTTATCAGAGGCTGGGGATTTAGCTCAGCGGCACAGCGCCTGCCTGGCAAGCGCAAGATCGTAAGTTCGATTCCTGATACCAGGGGAAAAAAACAAAAAACAAAAAGACCTTACACTTCATCATTAGTCATTCGAGAAATGCAAATTAAAACCACATTGAGATTCCACCTTACCCCAGTAAGAATGGCTAGCATTAAGAAATCAACCAATAACAAGTGCTGGCGAGGCTGTGGAGAAAATAGGAATTATTCTCCACTGCTGGTGGGAATGCAGACTGGTGAAACAACTATGGAAATCAGTTTGGAGATACCTCAGGAAACTAGGACTAGAGGTCCCATTCAACTCGCTATTCCCCTTCTGGGTATTTTCCCAGAAGATCTAAAAACATATCACAGCAATACATGTGCACCTATGTTCATAGCAGCACAATTTGGAATTGCTAAATTGTGGAAATAACCCAAATGTCCATCCACCAAGGATTGGATATGAAAATTGTGGTACTTTTATATAATGGAATATTACTCAGCTATAAAGAAAGGTAAACTCGAGGCGTTTATAGGTAAATGGTCACAACTAGAGACCATACTCATAAGTGAAATAAATCAGACCTGCATGTGCAAGCACTGCATTGTTTCACTAGTGTAAAACCTGAAAGAGTTAAACTAGGAGGTATGATAGACATTGTGAAATAATATGAAAGCATTCAAGGGTAAAGGGCAACTGGGATGTGGGAAAAAAGAGAAAGAAGGAGAAATTTTGTATATGTATATACAGGATAGTTAAAATACTTGTTCTGCTGTCTTTTATTTGCTAAAAGAAACTGTCAGTAAGTCCTTGATTGATCAATATTGCATGTCTCTGTTTTCATGAGAAACCACTTTGAAGATATCAATATAATACAACAGGCATTGTTAATTTCCTACCACTTTGTAACTCCGTACTGTCTGTACTGTTCTTTTGCTATTTTGTAAAAGGTTGTCTGTCTGTTAATGTTTTCCTCTTTTTATTTTTAAAATTAAAAAAAAAAAAAGTTGTTTATCATGACTGTAGAGGCAAAGGGCGTGGGATGTAGCTCAGCAGCACAGCACCTGCCTGGCAAGTGCAAGGTTGTGAGTTCAATTCCTAGTACCAAAAAACAGAAGCAAGTAGTGTACCCTGGGACCAACAGATATTTGGAGAGTCCACCTGTATTAAGATACTTTATAAGTTTTCGATTAAGTTATTTTGTACAGGGCACTGTTTGTTCACCTGACCAATATTATAGGCATTTTCTGTGCCAGTTACTTTATCTAACATTTACTGAGCATTCTTTATGTGCCAGTTACTATCCTATGTGCTGGGGAGAGATAAACTGGTAGACAAAACAGTTTTGAGGATAATCATCTTAAGTTCTTAAAAGGATCGTTGTGGTGTGGAAGATAGAAAGGTGGGAAAAGGAACCTGTTGTAAAGGTCTTTGCAGTAATCCATGCAAGAGCTGTTGATGGTGTGGACTAGAGTGATAGTAGTGTTGGAGATGATGATAAGTGGTCAGATTCACATTGCAGCTAATAGCATTTTCTAGTGTCTTGATTATAGGTTATTGAAAACAGTTCATGTTTGAGTCTTTAAAGGAGGAAAATGCAGAGGAGAAGGCTTAAGGAAGAGGAATGGAAAGTAGAATTTGTCAGGACTGGCCTGAGAGTGACCTGAGAGAAACTTGGGCTGGCCACTGCAAACCATGGGCTCTCCATTCCTGGCCATGGCTTGCCTTCTGCAAGTAAGAAGTTAGGACAATAAAGATATTGAAGGTTGGACTTAAAATCTTCTTGGCACTAGTTCCATCTACACACCTGGGTGAATTGCCTTTGTAATTTTTTACTTCAAACATTCCATCCAGATTGTTTAAAACTGTGGCCTCAACCATAAAACCAATGTGTATACTCAGTTCCCCCTTCCGATATTGGTACTCTCATGTCAGCCTTCCTGTAGATACAGGAGTGATATCTCATCTTCCCCACACAATCTGATCTTCAGTCTCCAGATGGTTCCTCTTGCACCATTATTACAGAATTCAGTTTGGTTTTAAGTTTAAGATGCTTCTTAGCTATGTATGTGGATATATCTTGAGTTGAAGGAAAATGTCAACTTGGACATTGTCACGTGTGCGCTTTCAGCCCAAACTGTCCCATCATGTTACATGTTGCTAACAGAGAAGCTGAACATTGAAATGGACAGCGATTCAGCAACATGGAAGGTATGGGAGATCTGAACAACAGCAATAAAAGCTTGCCCAAAGGGATCAGGAATAGGTTAGAAGCTGGGTGTGGTAGCCCACACCTGTAACCCCAGCACTTGGGAGGCTTAGGACCACCATGAGTTCGAAGCCAGCCTGGACTACATAGTAAGTTCAATGCCAGCCTGCACTACATAGTGAGACCCTGTCACCAGAAAGGAAAAAAAAAAAAAAGAAGATGGAAAGACAAATGTAAAAGAAGTCCTCTTCTGAAGAACAGAAATGGGATGGTAACTTGAAAGTGCTATTTTTAAAAAATTGAGATTGTGTTTAGAGGTGGAAGATCCAGTAACAATAATACTGCACTGTGCTAAGTGACAGAAACTAAGGATCTTCATCAACATGAGGATCTACCAAATGTAAATCCTTGGTTCTTTGGGAGCAGAGTCAGTGATATAAAGACGGTATAGGACCTCCAAATAATATAAGGGAAATATAACTCCCAACCTGCTAGATATCTGATATGCATTCATGTTCTCTAAAATTGAAGAATGAATTCTGGAGGTTAAGAGTAGGAAGAGTAGTAGAAAGAAAAGCTTCTGTCTAAGGAGTCCTGAGTGGGTGGCCAGAGAACCTTCTTCTCAAGGGAGTTTTATAGAGTAAAATCAGGAGGTGAGGCAGGTCTAAGGTAGGACAGAATATAAACAAGATTATGGGCTGGGGATTTAGCTCAACGGCAAAAGCGCCTGCTTGGCAAGCGCAAGGTCGTGAGTTCGGTTCCCGGTACCGGAGAAAAACCAAATAAATAAATAAATAAATAAACAAGATTATGAGGGTCAAATGGGGAAGTAAGTCATGTAGCAAGTGCACATGTGAGGGACAAGGGCTTTCCTGGAAGGGGTGGGTTAAGGAGGTTTTGGTCTCCCACCTGAGGTGATTGATGCCTATTTAGAATATCAATTGCTGCTGTTCATCCCTAGGGGAAGCTTATGGGTGTAGTTGTTCCTCTTTTTCTTAAGGCCTGGCCTTCAGCTAATGCACCTCCAGCTACAGTTGTCTTCTGCACTGTCCTTGGGAGGGCACAGCCCTGTCTGTCTTTGATGTTTCTAAATAACTATCTATAATAATAGGTTCCTAGATCTGTCACACCTTTAAGAGGTACTAGGGAATTGGTAGAAAGTCAATCTGTTCTTAGGATATTTACAGTCTAGCTGGTTAAATGGAGAAAACGATAGCACAGTTCTAACAAGTTCAAATTATAGACAATAAACTTGGAAGTCTTCATTGGATAGCTATTGGCATGTGGTAATTATGCTTAAAGACTTGGCTACGGTACATAATTCAAAAGAGAAGAAAAACTAGGTCCTCTTAGTCTCGAAGGAAGACGCGAACTAGGTTTTCATAAACCTTGGTGAGGAAGAAGAATTTGAATGGAACTAGGTGGACCCATGAACATGCAGTAGACAGTGGAGGGGAAAAAAATCTCTAAGGAATGGAATAATTTTAATATTAACCAGTTTTTATCCACACATTTCACCTTTCTTCTGAAGCCACATACCATTAGTTTATACCAGGATGGAATAACCTCGAAGAGTGTACAACGGTGGACAGAGCCTTCCTGTGGGAACGGACACATTTGTCATGAGAATTAAGCAAGACCAGACGGACGCAAAACACTGCCTATCTGCACTGCCAGCCTGGGCAGCGCCGACGAGGGGGGTGGGGTGCAGTGCCCCTTTTAAGCATTTCCGCAGACCGCGGGGGTCTCTGTCCCCGAAGAAGGCGCCGTCCTGCACCGCACTTCCAGGGGACTCGCGTGTCCTTGTGCGTGGAGTCGTCTCTGTGTCCCCAGCATCACCAACTTCCGTTCGCCGCCTCCTCGCTCGGCCGCTGAGCGGTGGCTCGAAGCTTGCTCCGTTAGCGTCTTCTCGCTCAAAACACCAATTTTCTGTGACAGCGTATTCTCAAACTGGTTTTACTGAGCTTACAATGAGAGCACCGGGCTGCCTAACTCTGTTCGCAGCTCCACCGTCCGCCTCTAGGAGGCGACCGAGCAGCAGGTGGCTAGAGCGGCCAGCACCCAGTGGGGCTCGCGAGAGTTGTGTTCGCGTGCGCTTGCGCAAAGCCAGGGGCTCGCTCTCGTTCCGTTTCCGGTTCCGGCCCCGCTGGCTTTTGTTCCTGGTGGTCAGACGTCACGGTTGTTGGACCGTAACCGCGGAAGATGCTGCGCAATCTGCTGGTAAGGCGCTGCTGGGTTTGTAGTCGCCACGGTGGTAGGGGTCGGGAGCAGAGGCTAAGGGACGATGATGAAAAGTCCTGGGAGCACCGAAGGCGGTTCCCGAAGTCACCTTGGTGCTTGTCCTCGCGCGGCCTTCCTTCCGACGGTTCCCCTCGCTCGGGCCGCGGCGGGGCAGATGTGGACGGGGGAGAAACGCCGGGGGGCGACTTTGGCGTGGGGGCGTAGCAGTCCCACCGCAGCTCGGGGCCCTTGGTGCCTTGTCACACGGCCCCGGTGGGTTTCTGACTCCCGGAAGCACTAGGCGGAAAGGTGACCTCTCCTAATCGGCATCGTAAGTCACCCAGTTCTGGGTGCAGACCGTGGCTCAAGTGTAGTGCTGCCTTCACGAGCCTGTTGTCCGTTGCCATTTATCCTTCCGCCGGCCCTGGGCATGTGAAATACTTCCCAGAATTTCGGTCGTAAGAAAAGGAAAATTAATAGTAATTTTTTTTTTATATTACTGTATTTAACAAATGTTTTACAAAGTTTCTCAATATCGTTTACTTTAGAAAGTGGAGCACACGTTTATTTCATTATTTAATTCAGCATGTAATACAAAGCCCTTTTAAAAAGATTTATACCCTATTAAACTTTTCGTAGGTGGCAGAGAACGTAGCTCAGTAGCAGAACTTTTCCCCAGCATGTTCAGGGGCATGGATTTGATCGGAGCACCACAAAAATTTGAGGGGAACATTTTAATTTAATAGGAATCGTGCTGGTGTGTTTGGTGTCAAGTAATAGATTTTAATAATATAGGGAGTATTAAATGAAAACATTTGAACTTAGTCTATTTATTTTTGTAATATTCTTACATTTGTTTTTCTCAAAGATTACAAAAGGTTGCTGGTTCAGTTCAGGCAAAGGTCATGAATATGGTTTTTGGAAACTGCAGAATGTGGAGGGCAAGAAAAATCAGAATGCTGGCTCATAGTTTTGTTAATAACAAATCAGATGTCAGTGTCCTATAACATGAAAGGTTGAAAATGGCTGGTTTACTTAATCAACTAAATAATTTTTTTGGTTGAGACAGGGACTCACTATGTAGTGTAGGCTGCCCTTGAACTTACTGTGTAGCACAGGCTGGCCTCACTCATGGTGATCCTCTTGCCTCAGCCTCCCAGTGCTGGAATTACAGGCGTGCGCCACACCTGGCTAGTTTAAAAGGTTTCTTTAGGGTCTAAATCTGCTTAATGTATGTGACTTTTCCATTTCAGGCTCTCCGACCTCTTGCTCAGAGGACCATCAGCACTGCTTCACGCAGGCATTTTGAAAACAAAGTTCCACAGAAACAAAAGCTCTTCCAGGTACTGAAATAGTTTAAAGGAAGGTGATAATAATTAGTCCAAAAGGTAGAAATAGGAAGTAAACCTAGAGATGTCTGCTCGTTAATGAGCTTCTTGTATCAGCAGTAAAAAAAAAACCCAAAAAGCCCCTTGGCAGCTGTCTTGAGCATTTGCTGTATTTAAGAGACCTTGGACAAGCTGAGAAAAGGAAAGGGGTGTAGATCGGTGGTAATTGTTTTTGTTTTTTATTTTTTGGTCGTTTTGAGACAGGGTTTCCCTCTGCAGGTTAGGCTGGTTTGAACTCTCTTCGTAGCCCAGGCTTTCCTTGAGGTTACAGTGATCTGTCTGCCTCAGCCTCAGTGGTAATTTTTTTTTGGAGTTTATGGTGAACTGGCATTCTTGGGTCTGTAACTGTACAGGAATAGGCAAACCATGGAAAGGACCCAGAAACAGATCAAATACATATGTGGTCATTTAATATATGTTAAAGGATACAGCATTGCATACAAAAGTATGCAATAAATTAGTATTGGAAAAAATAGCTATTTTTAAAATTTTTTTTACATCCTTATGTGGTATACTATACATACATGTCTATATTACCTCAAAACACTAAAATATAGAGATTATTTCTTACAATCTTTGGCTTGGGGAAGTCTAAGAAAATGATTGGAAAACTGAGCAACTATATAGAAAGAAAAGATTTGGTAACAAAAAATTAAACTTTATAGGTATAAAAGATAGGATAAATTGAAAGCAAATTTTCAGAAGGTTAATATTCTTTATTCAAAGAACTACAGATTAATTGGAAATGCAAACTAAGTACGCCACAGCCAACAGCCAAGGTGCAGGAGATGCAAACTCTTGAGGAGCATGGCTGGGCCTCTGCCCCCAGTGAATTCTAAGTAGGCAATGGGTGGGAAGCGCAATTGGCCATGGACTGTGGAGTTCCACAGAAGCAGATTAGATGGTGGGCCACTGCCTGCCATGGAGCAAGAGCACCGCCATGCTTTGCCCCTGGGGCTCAGGCATTTTGAGGCCCTGAAGTTGGCCAGCACTCTCAAACTGCTGTTGCAACTTAGCCATTCATTGGCACTAAGAAATGGCCTTAACCTGGAGTTGCTCCCCTTTTGTTTTATAGATCGTGGGACTGCCATGTCTTTATCTGTTCCTGGAACTGAAAAATGTATCTTCTATAAAAATGTTGTCTTGTACATCAGTCTTATTAAAACAAATGAACAAAAAATTAACATAGGTTACCTTCCCCTTACCTGGTTGGCAAGATTTTAGAAGGGTTTAAAATAGGTATGTTTGTTTACCAGGTGAGAGATTATGTATATTCATCCACAGTACTTTCATACAATATGCTAAGTAGTAGTATAATTGGTATAAAAGTTTTGGTGTGTATATGACAGTATTATTAAAAACAAATCACCCTGGAGCTGGGGATTTCGCTCAGCGGCACAGGGCCTGCCTCGCAAGCGCAAGGTTGTGAGTTTGATTCCCAGTACTGGAAAAAAAAAACAAACCAGAAAAACAAGTCACCTTGTCATTTAGGCAGTCTGCTTTTAAAATGTTTGCTACAGAAATAATTGTGTAAGAATATAAAAATGGGGAAGAGGATTTTAATTTAATAAAACCCCAGTAGCCTAAATTACTAGAAAATTGACTAATGCAATTAAGATATTTTTTTGTGTGGTGGAATACTATTGAAAAGAGTAAGATAGATTTAAATGGACTGAAAATGGCTTTTAAGGTACACTATTGAGCAAAAAAATAGTATATGGCTATCATAATCTTATTTTGTATATTAAAGAAGTATGTGTAATTTAGAAGAGTGGATAATATAAGTGTTAAAACATAGAGATATAGTAAAGTAGAGCAATTTGTTGTTTTTTTTTGTTTTTGTTTTTCTCCAGTACCGGGAACCGAACTCACGACCTTGCACTTGCCAGGCAGGCGCTTTTGCTGCTGAGCTAAATCCCCAGCCCCCGCAATTTGTTTTTGTAGTGTTTAGATTGAGTTACTTTGTTTTGTGATGTATGACGTTTCACCCCAAATAAAATTTCAAGTGATAAAAAGTACTATATCTCATACATAAAGATAAAATATTTTATTTAACAGATATACTAAATATCTACTGTTTGCCAGATTGTGGATTAGGATTCTGGAATATAAATGAAAGTTCCCTGACCTTTTTCTTTTTTTTTTTTTTAAGGAGGAAAAAAAACTTCCATAGGACTAAATCTAAAGTGTGATGATAATTTATATATATATTTATTTATTTCAACTCAAATATATTTAATATTTATATATTCCTTTGGGGGAATCTTTACTGCTTCTCAAATTA